GGCTGCGGGGGCGGTGCAGTATTCGTGCAGAGGCATGTGCGGGTCGCCCTTGGGGCTCAGCAGGAAGCCGGGTGTGGCGACGGCAGCGGCGGGCTGGCGCTTCTGGTCCAGCCACGTCCCCCCTTCGCCACCAGAGGACTCCACCCATGCACCCCTTTGTTTTCATCCCTTCAACCCGCCCGTGCTGCACCCCACGCGGCAGGCATCTACGACCCGGCGTTCATCGCGGCCAACCAGGAGGCGCGCGCCGACAACCTGATCAAGGGCAGCCGCCAGCAGCAGCTGGACGCGGTGCGCGGCCACATCCGCGAGTTCAAGGAGTCCAGCGGCGTTGACAAGGCGCGCAGCGGGAGGGGGCCTGGCGGGTCATCTGCGGGGCTGATGATGCGGTGTCGGGGGCCTGTGGCCACTGGTAGTGTGCAGCGCAGTAGTGTGCAGGCCTGGAGCACGACTGGCATTGTTGAGTTTCTGTATGCGTGCCTGTGAGCTGCCTTGCTGCGGCGTACGTAAAGCCCCGCCAAGGAGCCCTTCAACCCCCTTGTGGTCGCTCCTTGCCTGCGCCGCTCAAGCCTGCACGCCCCGACCTCCCCCCGGCCGCCGCCTGGCGCCTCAGGTGGTGGTCCTCTGGACCGCCAACACCGAGCGCTACAGCCAGCTGGCCGAGGGCCTGAACGACACCGCAGACAACCTGCTCGCCTCCATCGAGCGCGACGAGTCCGAGGTCGCGCCCTCCACCATCTACGCGGCGGCCTGCGTGCTCGAGGGCGTGCCCTTTATTAACGGCTCCCCCCAGAACACCTTTGTGCCCGGCCTGCTCGAGCTGGCGGTCTCCCGCGGCGTCCTCATCGCCGGCGACGACTTCAAGTCCGGCCAGACCAAAATGAAGTCCGTCCTTGTGGACTTCCTCGTCGGCGCCGGCCTCAAGCCGACGAGCATCGTCAGCTACAACCACCTCGGGAACAACGACGGCATGAACCTCTCCGCGCCGGCGACGTTCCGCAGCAAGGAGATCTCGAAGTCCAATGTTGTGGACGACATGGTGGCCAGCAACAGCCTGCTGTACGAGCCCGGGGAGCACCCCGATCACGTGGTTGTCATCAAGTACGTGCCCTACGTCGGCGACTCCAAGCGCGCCATGGATGAGTACACGTCGGAGATTTTCATGGGCGGCCGCAACACCATCGTGATGCACAACACCTGCGAGGACAGCCTGCTGGCGGCGCCGATCATCCTGGACCTGGTGCTGATCGCGGAGCTGCTGACGCGGGTGACGTTCCGGCGCGACGGCGAGGCGGCGCTGCACGAGCTGCACCCGGTGGCGGCGCTGCTGTCGTACCTCACAAAGGCGCCGCTCGTGCCGCAGGTGTGTGTGTGTGTGGGGGGGGGCTGTTGGCGGGGCGCATGAGTGGGTTTTGGAGGGGGTTGTGTGGGCGTGGGACCTAGCGTGGCTGCGGTTGTCCGGCTGCGGAAAGGCTGGTAGTTGAGCTTTTCTTGGCTGGGGATCTTCATGTTTTTGATTCGGCTGTGGTGACATGACAGGAGCTCCCGGGAACCAGGGGAGCTGCCCTTTTCGGCCACGCCGCTCCCGAGTTGGTGTAGCTGCGCGCCGACAGCCTGCCAGCCAGCGCTGAGCCGGCGCCTCTGCTTCCCCCGCC